CAGCGGGTTCAGTTCACTGTGAGCTAGTCTGTGCATGCAATGCTTAGAACAATAGTCAATTCAAGGGTGTTAGTCACTAGCTATGTCTTTTGATTAAACGAAGCCAGGGCTAGGAAACAGCTCAAAAATAACACGATCACAATACTTTTTAAAAAATACAGGAATTCCAAAAAAACATCTCAAAAAACTTCCACAAACCTTCATGGATGCATTAAACACAACAATCAAATCAGATTAAGGTAAAAAACACAATTTTAAGAGGAAAATAATCCTTTCCTTAGCTGCCTGGCTCCTCAAGCACATAATAGATCATAATGGTATAATACTTAGTGTATTTTATTTGTATTAAGGCCTAAAAAATTGTGCTACAGTTGATTACTGATAAAAAACGATTTACAAATATTAATTAGCAATGGCCTATCACAAAATGCTGAGGCTTAGTATGAGGCTATTTAAATCCTTTCTATCACCTTTTTTATAAATTGGGATTACTACTATTCCATAATAATCAGTGATTATTTTTGACAAGACCATGGGCAACAAATTGACTGACACGTAATACATACTCCACTGTCATACTCATCCTCACTGAAGGACCAAGAATGCAGTAAACAGTAGGTGTGGAAGCAGCAATGTGAACTATTGTTTACAGGCCCTATGGAAAAATTACAAGAGCACATAAGGTGCAAATATCTGTTGTTTTGGGCTGCAGAATGAGGTCTTGATTTATTCAATAGTTGGGTTTATTGACAAATGACGAAAAAATTCCTACTGGAAAAAATTTCAAAAATATACCAAACAACATCACTTGACAGTTCTTCAAATATTTCTCAAGGGTGACGGCATATGGCATGTCACTTTTTTGAATCTCTATTATAAGTGAAAATTCCGGTTTAAGTTCTTTCAAATTTCTTGCACCATATTTTGAATTATAATACACTTCCCCTTTTCGCTTATATGATTTATCAGCCACTCGAATATCTTTCTGGTTTGGTGTATAAGGTTTGAGTTTCACAGGTAGTTGAGGTAGAGTTGTTCGTATCTCTCTTCCCATCAATAATACAGAAGGACTCAAACCCAAACTAGGTATTGGTGTTGATCGATAAGCCATTAAAGCTGAAAGGTAATCAGTTTGTTTAAGAATGTTCTTTGAAATATGCACTGCTTTCTCTGCTTGCCCATTTGCTTGAGCATGGTATGGACTAACAGTGACATGTTCAAAGTTGTAATCTTGTGCAAATTGACGAAATTCTCCCAAAAACTGAGGACCGTTATCGGTGATAACTGTTTCCGGAATACCAAAACGAGCAAAGTCAACTTTCAAAAAGTTAATCACAGCAGCGGACGAAGTTTTATGCATAGCATGTATTTCAATCCATTTTGAATAACAGTCCACTACTATCAAATACTGTTTACCATCTACTTCCGCCAAATCACACGCAATGCGTTGCCATGGACGATTTGGAAGTGGAAACTGAATCAGTGATTCTGCCCTTTGTGATGATTGTTTACTTGTACAATTTTCACACCTGCTTACATATTCAGCAATATGTTTCCCAATTGAAGGCCACCAAATCGCTTCTTTAGCACGAAGTCGGCATTTTGTTATTCCCTGGTGTCCCTGGTGAATTCTCGACAGCATCTCCACTTGCAGTATTTTAGGAATAATTATGCGATCACCAAAGGTCAAAATACCATCAATCATACTAATTTGATCTCGTACATCCCAAAATGGTTTAATATCTTCCGTTACATCTTTAGCATATTTAGGCCAACCATGATTTACATAGGAAGAAATAATAGTTAACATTTTATCATTAGTTGTCTCTCGAACAATTTCTTCAAGTCTTGCATTAGATGCAGGCCAATGCTTGGTAACCATTCTCACATGAGCTAACAATTCCTCTTCAAGATCTATATCTTGTGGTTCTCTAACATAATTTGGTTGAGGAGCACGTGACAATGTATCAGCAACAACCATAAGTTTACCAGGTGTATACTCGGCATGACAATTATATTTCATAAGACGTATCAAAAGCCTTTGACATCGTAAAGGAGCATCACATAAATCTTTAGAATTAATCAATGGTACGAGTGGTTTATGGTCAGTTTGTATTATTACTTTGAGTCCTCTAAGGTAAGTATAAAAACGATCACATGACCATACAGAAGCCAAAAGTTCCTTCTCAATTTGAGCATATTTCCTCTCAGAAGACGTTAATGTACGCGAACAATATGCAACAGGTCGCCATGTTCCATCACTCTGACATTGAAGTACACAACCTCCAATTCCATAAGCACTAGCATCAGCACTGACCATAGTTGGTTTCCCTGGATCATAAAATGCCAATGTTGGTGTAGAAACTAATAGTTCTTAAGACGACTAAATGCTTTCTGCTGATCAGGACCCCATATCCAGTCAACATTATCTTTCAACAAATCATTTAGCGGTACAGCTATAGTAGATGAATGAGGAATAAATCTAGAAACCCAATTAATCATTCCCATGAAGCGTTTAACATCCGACTTTGAAGTTGGTACTGGCATATTTACAATTGCTGCAATTTTAGCAGAATTAGCTTGTAGACCATCCTTATTAAAGGTATGTCCAAGAAATTGTACTTCAGTTTTTGACAGGTAAGATTTCTCACTATTCAGACGAAGACCCATGTTGTAAATAGTATCTATAACTTTATGAAGACGATCATCATGTTCTTCCTGAGTACTCCCTGTAACTAAAACATCATCAATATAAACAACTACTCCTGGAATATGAGCTAACATATCACTCATAATTCGTTGATACATCTCCGGCGCTGAAGTTATCCCAAAAGGTAAACGCTGAAAACAATATCTTCCAAATGGAGTGATAAATGTTGTAAGTTTTTGACTATTTTCTTCAATAGGAATTTGCCAAAATCCTTGCTTAGCGTCTAATGTTGAAAACACCTTTGCTCCTGTAATCTTCCCAATTACATCCTCTATTGTTGGAATAGCAAAACGTTCACGCACAACACATTTATTAAGATTTCTCAAATCCACACACAAACGAATTTGACCATTTTTCTTTGGAGCAATTACAATTGGGGCACACCAATTTGTTGGTTCTCGGATTCGTTTAATTACACCTTGCTCTTCCATACGAATTAATTCCTGTTCCACCTTTGGTAATAACGGTATTGAAATGCGACGTGGAGTATGTACACAATACGGCACAGCATCAGTTGCAATTTTAATTTTACCTGGTGGACCTTTAAGACATCCTAAACCTTCAAATACGTTAGTAGATAATGTATTAACTCGCTTTATTAATCCCAGAGATTCACAAACATCCTTACTAAGTACAGGCTCTCCTTTGTCCAAGACAAGAAAATTTACCATAGTTCTGCATCCTTTTACTGTACAAGCCAATGTTATTTCTCCTAGAGGTATAGCCTCGCCTCCAAAGAATCCAATCAATCTCATAGAATTAGGTTGTAAAGACTTATTTTTCAAATTCAGCATATCAAAAACAGATTTTGGTAAGATATTCACTTCTGAACCAGTGTCTAACAAAAACATAACATTATGATTTTGCACACATACTTCACCTCGCCATAAAGAAGAAGAAGATTCATGTCGTTTCACTGTTCCAAGTAGAAGTGTATTCTCATCCAAATCACTACTGCTATCAGGCACATACTGTTGCACAGCTTTTAAATGTTTTTTATGCATTTTTGCTTTACAAACACGTGAAAAGTGTCCAATCTTCAAACAAAAGTGACACTTTTTACCTTTCGCAGGACAATTTACATGACTGTCCCAATGACCACATTGGGGACACGACTTGCTCACTGGCGATCTGTGATTTTGAGATTTCACAGGTATAGCCCGAGAAGGACGGTAACTCACAGATTGTACACTAGCTGCAGACGACTCTCCTTTTATTGTACGCAAATCCTTCAAGGCAGTTTCAACCATTTTTGCATGATCAACCGCTTCCTGAAACTTACACTTATCCTTTGTGAGCAGCTGCCTCTGTACAGTTTCATTCTGCATACCACAAACAAAACGATCACGTAGTGCATCGTCTAAAAACGTTCCAAATTCACAAGAACTAGCCAAATTTTGTAGTTCCACAGCATACTGCGCAATAGATTCTCCAATTCGCTGACCACGTTTATAAAAACGAAAACGTTCGGAAACAATAAGGCGTTTTGAGCCATAATGCTGGAGTAACAATGCACGTAAATCAGAGTAACTTCTACTACTAACTTGTATCGGCTCGGAAAGACTTTTAACAGTCTTGTAAACTTTAGCCCCAATAACACTTAGTAGAACTGCTGATTTCTTAACATCAGGCACCTCATTTGCCAAAAAATATAATTCAATCTGCTCAAGATAGTCAGTAATCTCCTCGGTTTCATCATAAGGACCAGTCTGTCCTATAGACGAATAAACAGCAGGACCTTTGACCTCCTCGGCCATTCTGCAAACAGAGTATTACTAATAAACACAAGAAAAACTCAGCACAACTGCTATAATGAGTTTATCTCAAACACAATACGGTATGACTTAGGATCGTCAAACAACCCGCTGCCACCATGTAGTATCCTTGACACGAATATCAATACAACACACGATAATATCCAAAACATCAAGAACTTTATTTTCACTATGCTCAGATACTCGACTCGAAATTACTCCCTTTGTTAAGAAAGCACAGCTTATATACAGCATGCCAGGTGTACCTAATAATATTTAAATCTATCGTTACTCAAGAGGGCGCAATATTACAACAAGATGAAGAAAAAATTCCTACTGGAAACAATTTCAAAAATATACCAAACAACATTACTTGACAGTTCTTCAAATATTTCTCCAAGGGTGACGGCATATGGCATGCCACTTTTTTGAATCTCTATTATAAGTGAAATTAAGGAGGATAAAGTTTGTTTTACTCTACAGTAATACACAGCAAAATGAAAGCAACAATTTAATACTAAAATAACTAAACTCACTTTCACTTGATCCCATTAGCTGTGTCTTGTGCTCATCAGTTGGTAATCTTTCAGGTTTTACTTCAAGGGTGGCAGGTGATGGTAAATCAGATGTCTCAGTTTTTTGAGTCTCTATTATAAGGTAAAATTAAGAAGGATAAAGTTTGTTTTACTCTACAGTAATACACAGAAACAATGAAAGAAACAATTTAATACTAAAATAACTAAACTCGCTTTCACTTGATCCCACTAGCAGTGTCTTCTGTTCTTCACTTGATAATTGTTCAGATGTATCTTTAAAGGTGGCAGAGGATGGTACATCATGTGTCTCACTTTCTATCTCCTCTTTAAAGTAATTTTTGATGATTAATGATTGAAATTCTTAAGTCTACAACTTATATTTTATCTTTAATATTAAAATTAACATTAGTGTACTGTTGTTTCTAGTAAAGATGTTTACATTACATACAATTTTTATAATGTCATTTACCATGAGGATTAGTCTAGGAAAAAATTAGTTAGAAGGAGCGGAATGTTAGAAGCAATCCACATTGCCAGATATCCTAATTAATCCCTTCTGGTCCCCCTAAGCCTTGTTGACACTTGATTTTACGCCTTGTATAGAAATGGCCGCCATTTTTCAAAATGGTCGCCAAATTTATCTAAAATGTGCATAAAAATTAAATAAGCTGCAGATACGATTTTAGTGTCTAAACTCATAATTTCTAGACAGGCAACAACCTAG